TGTTCCCTTCTTTCGGTATCATCGTGTTTTCGGTAGCTACAGCAGCAACCTGGTGTTCAAAGACTGTGGCCTAGAACAACACTCGGATTATCAAATCTCAATCACTCCACTAGCCTCAAGCTCTCCCTTGGACACCAAAGAGTACATGTATGTGTGTGTTCTGAATGCCAAGAGAGTCCAAATGCACGATATGGAGGGGTACATAAAGACCCCACTCAAAAAAACTAGTTTGAACTCCAATCAGGATTTTCGCACTCACTGAAAAAGTCTGGTGTGCTTTTGAACTGAGCACCGCTCCAACAATCATCGTGGATCCTACACTGTTCATCTACAGTGATCTGAGCCAAGGGGTCGCGGTCGATGAACAGTAACCGCGATGGGACACCCCCCGGACTTAAAGTTTTTATATATAGACTAGTCATTTACTGTACAACCCTTGTAGCACTTTATCTGGTGATACGGACCGGATAAATCCGGTAACTCCAAACCCTTAATGGAACCTCATTGGTGAGCACTGGATTCTCCGATGATCCTTACCGAATTATTCTGGTGAGTCTGGGAACTCTTTGTTCCCTGTTCCCAGTCGATGTTGACTTAGAGCCTTTTCTCTAGTGCCATGTTCTGCGGTGCCACTGGAATAAGCGATAGCACCATTCATCGAACAATATATCCAATACACATGCCACTTCTCCGATGACACTATATGCCAAGCACTAGATAAATCCAGTGGTACAGAACCCCCCCCATTTTTGTCCAATTCAACCAACTTTGAAAATGGGTTAACTTTCAATTGATCTTATGCCCCGTAGATGTCTGTATTGAGGCCCAACATTTGGAATTGGAAAGGGCAGGCCCGAATTCCACATGTTTGGATGGTCATGGGCACTGTAGTCTCAAATCTAGGCTCATTTCCTCGTGGCATTCACTTCACCTAGCCCAGCCCAAAGACGATACCCAGCCAAGACCCTCGGTATTGGTTGGAATCCTTCATGTACCTCCCTCCCACCATGGCCTCGAGACATCCTCGCCCTCGCGTCGTCGTGCATCTCTCTCTGTCCCCTCGTAGCCTCACCGGAGCACCTCCATCCTCCTCGTGTGCCAGCACCTTCGCCCCCACCCTCCCCCTCGCCATAGGCCTCCCGCCCCCTCGTGTGTCAGCCCATTTCGGTCCCTCGCTGGAGGCCTCCGTCCTCTCCTACTGCGACAAGGGTGGTAGAACACCTCGTCTTCTCCCGCTCTGGCAAGGGGCGGTACCATGCCCTTCGCTTCCTCTGTCCACTCCCCGACGATGAGGACGGCGATGACCTCCTCACGGTCATGGACGCCATCCCCATCTGCCTGGAAGTAGAACCATCCCCATCTGTAGGTGCTCGAGTTGGCTGGCTCCGATGGCGAGCGCCCGCAGTTTCACCTCCAGCACCTATTCCTGCAGTGCCCCTTCGCACCTCTTGTCATCGGTACGGGCTAGGTCGTGGGTGAAGAGGGGAAGAAGATGGGTCAATTCCCAATTCCATGGTATGCACATCCAAACTTGAATTTGTATTTGGCACTGCATTTGATTCTAGCTAGCAATTGTATCTACATCCAAACAACCACTTTGGTATTGATATCCATTTCTAATATAAGTCTGATTTGGTATTGGTGTCAATTCAATTAAAGGATGTCTAATGCCTATATCCAAATGAAACCATAGGGTTTCATCTGAGCTACCTAGTGCTAAGTTTGACAACTATACATCACACTCACTCCCTAGACTCATGTAGATCAAGCTACTAGTTCATACACCTTTATAGTACTGTAGGATCTCTGCTAAGCCTAGGGGGAGGGTGAATAGGTTGTTTAAAACAAACTCAAACAAATGTTAAATTCCACACGCAGCACTGCCGCCCAAATACGCGGTATGGCCACACAACAAAGCGGCACTACCGCACCTGTAGACAAGCTCGAGTTGCAATTCAAAATCTATCAAAGGAAACTTAGATTGGGAAATTTATTGAGCTTCCTGAGGTAGAGTAGAGCCTAGATCACCAGTTGAAAGTAGTTAGAGAAGCACAAGCGAGTAAATCAGGACCAAATCCTAGAATCACTACATGAACAAGTATAGAACAATATAAAACAAGAACATAAGAGAGACAATGATTTATCCCATGGTTCAGCTCGCCACTAAGGCTTGCCTAAGTCCTTGTTGTTGAGGAAGCCACAAAGGATTTGGGTTTCACAAACCCTATCCTCGTTCTCAAGTCAAGAGAGGTATCTCTTGAGATGAGGGGGTTCTTACTAGATGCTTGGGTGATTACAAACGTCTCAGAGCAGCCACACAAGAGTTAGAAGCTTTCGGGCGATGCCTAGCCGTCTAGGAGCAAAATTCCAAGAGTAACAAACACAATCCACTGGCTAAAAACGTGAACCAAGTGCTCTAGAAGTTGGGAATCAGTTGGATTTGCTCTCTAATCAAGTTTGGAGCCTTTTTCACTCGAGGATTTGATGGGAAATCAAGAGGGAATGCTTGGGAGCTTGGGGTCTCCAATGGAGAAGAGAGAGAATGAGCTGAGTGCACTTGTTGAGTTGGTCTGGTTGAGATGACCATTGTGAGGAAGAAGAAGAGGTATAAATACCCCCCTTCCCAAGGGTCAGTTAAGTCACGCCGTAGCGCGGCAGTGCCGCGCGCCTATGCAGCAGTGCCACGACATCCAGACAGCACAAGGTTAGGGAATGGAGTGCTTGCTACCTTGGCTAGAAACTTGAGGATATTTTTGGTGGAAATGTGAGCACTTGGTTGCACATTCAAGCTTATGCATTGTAACCCCCTTTGTAGTACGACTTTTCCTATACTCAAATTCGAAATATAGAATAAATTAAACGCCTTTGAGTTCAACGCCGCAATCTTTTATAATTGGGGGCTCCACCATCACATGTGTTATCCTTCTTTATGTCTTTCCTGCTTGTCATCTTGATAATCTCATTAATCCTCTAATCGCATGGTCATTATCACCAAAACCCACAATAGGGCTTGATTGTACTTACAAGTACAGACAAAAGAAAAACAAAATCCTAAACTATTCTAAGTGTCTCACAACTCCAAACGAGATTTAAAACTAGTTGTCTTTAACCTTGTCGCTCATCCTTTAAAAATCAAACCGAAAACCAACATAGGGGCATGAAAGCCATCGATTGCCCATTAATCAATCATCATTGTGACCCAACTTAGAATGCCCTCGCAAAACACACGTTAGTCATTAAACACTAAAGCTGGATTAGGGGCCTAGATGCTTTCAAGGGTATTCGTGAGAGTGTTGATAGAGGTAACCTATGAATATAGATACATGGATTAAATTATCTAAAGGCCCATTTCGATCCTTGGAATTGAATTCATTCTAATAATTACAATTTAGACATAGATTAATTAAGTTAATATAGCTGTATATGAAATACATTTGTATATTTATTGTTAGGCATATAAGGGACATACTTATATGTTGTATTTCTATTGTAGGGAAGTGAGTTGAAGAGTGTGCTATAAGTTGGAGAATAGAATTATAGCATAGTGATCTATAGAATCTATTTCTATCTCCCACACTAGGAATTTGAGGTAGGCTTATTTGTGAGCTTGGGAAAGTTATGGAACGTCAAATTCCAATCCTAATAGCCTAATCCATTATGTAGATTTTAATTTCTCCAAAATGAAGGGATCCAAACGGCCCCTAATAGTGATACCATGTGATAATTTGCATTTTAGGACGATACAGATTGTTGGAGAGTGGCATTTGTTTCTTATCTTAGTTTTAGACAAAAAGGATCACTGCTATGTTGTCATAAAATTCGCAAATGAATCCATCAATTCACTTGACAAGCAATGGAGGAAGCAACAACCTCCCTAATCCTAGAGTTCTATTTGGAAAAAGTGAGACCCAATGAAAAATAGTTTACAGTTTACTCATGTTTCGAGTTAGCACAAACAGTGTCAAACATACTCATGAAAATCCAGATATGAAACAAAATTATTACAATATTATCTACCATGTGTGCTAGACATAGTCGCATCATTGATACTGTATGTCTCTGCAATTGTGGACACTTCTTCCTTTGCTACCCTTGCGTGGAAATATCCTGGGTGCTTGGGCTCAGGCAGGGCCATGTCCTCACTGCCTAGCATTGCAACTACGTCTGACGTGGTAGGCCTATCAATCGCATTCTCTTGCACACATAGCAACGCAATGTTGATGCACCTCATCATCTCTAGTGTACAACCATTCGTAGCCAATGATATATCCACAAGTTCAAGCCATCTTTGCTCTTTCCATAGCTTCCATGCCTATGAGAATTTTCATCGTAGAATATGTAACTACATAAGTAATAATGCAATCAAAATAAATTTACACATGTGAATATGAACTAGACTCACGTATCCAAGTAGGTTTAGGAAGTTTCCATGGTAATAGAAACCTGAATTTCTTTCTCCAGTGATAATCTCAAGAATTAGCACACCGAAGCTAAATACATCAGATTTTGCAGAGAAAAGGCCTTCGGAAGCATACTCTGGAGCCATGTAACCACTGCAAGGGCACACATGTAATTAATACAGCATAAGAGAACCAATTTTTGTACTAGAGTTGCTATATTTTGCTAGCAAATAACATCATTAGAATGGAGTCGAAAAGAGCTTACTATGTGCCAACAATCCTTTCTGTGTTTCCTTCATTATCATTTGAGCTAAACATTTTTGCCATCCCAAAATCAGAAATCTTAGGATTCATTTCGTAGTCCAAGAGAATATTGCTTGCTTTGACATCTCTATGTATAACCCGTAACCGAGAGTGTTTATGCAAATATAAAAGTCCTTGTGCAATCCCTTCGATTATCACGAGTCGTTTATCCCAATTTAGTAAGGTTCTTCTTTTTTCATCTGCACATCAATAAAACATAAACACAATAGAGAAAACATCTACAGAGTTTAGAAGCAGTGCACAGAGCGGACTGGCTAATTGTTGAAACAGTTATACCGAATATGAAGAAATCTAAGCTTTTATTCTTTAGATATTCATAGACCAGCATTTTTTCCTCCCCATGGGAGCAATATCCCAACAACCTAACCAAATTTCTGTGCTGGAGTTTTGCTATGAGCTGGACTTCATTTCTAAACTCTCTGAAACCTTGCATAGAATGCGAAGCAAGTCTTTTAACTGCTATCTCCAACCCATCAGGAAGCCGGCCCTGTGGAAAAGATTTTTTTTTCTGTAAACTCAAGTCAATGGAAACTACGATGTGCAAGATCATCAGTCTTCTATCATGCAGAATGTTAATTTCTCTATTTGTGTGCATTCGTGCATGTTTTCTAGAGACGTTAAAAATAATCAACCAAGGTCAACTACCTTGTAAACAGGACCGAAGCCACCTTGCCCAAGTTTATTTTCTACCAAGAAGTCATTTGTAGCATCCAAAACTTGTGAATAATTGAAAAATGTGAAATCTGGATTGTTCCCTTCTGTTTCCCATACTAGCTCTACATCTCGGTGCACAATCACATTTGATCTATCCCTTACTCTCTGTTTGCCTGTATCAGCAATTGATGTAGTCCATTAGTCACAAACTACCAACAAAAACGTGATAAGTAGATGAAGCAGCAAGCACTAAGTAGCACAAAATTCCGTATCTGACCTTTGCTGAGGCTTCTGAACATGATTGGTCCAAAGCAAAAGATGATGCACAAAGCAATTCCAAGTAGAGAAGAAACAACAACCAAGATCCAAACATTACTTTTAGTTTTAGGCCCTGACATGATGAGAAGCCATGTATATCATGAGATGGCAGGTGTTTCAGAAGTCCAAGCAAACATCTGAAATACTTGTTCCAATGTTTAAACTATTGTGTTTTGTTCAATGAATTCAACAAAACAAACACACATTTCAGGAAGGCCGATCAGATTTTGTGCTACTTTGTATTTAGGTGAGTACATATTTTAACAGAAAAGAAACTTACAATTATGTATATGGATTGAGAAGTTCTTAGTGACTTACCTGTCTTCGCTGTGCGTTTTTCACATGGAGTTAATTGTCGGCTACAGTTCAAGTGGTTGCCTGTATAGCTGAAAAGAAATAGAACATTGCACTTATATTAAATAAATTTAGAGTAGTTAACATATTCCACGGTCTGCTGCATTGCAGAATTGCCATACTTGTATTGAGCAACCTGGAGCAGTTTTTCTGGTATTTCACCACCAAGATCGTTGTCTGATAGATTTCTGCAAAGTAAAAGTGAGTCAAATATATAAAGTAGAGAACAAGCTAATTAGTTCAGTCCCAAAACATAATATATTTAAAATAATTTTTTTCAATGAAAAAACATAATATATTTAAAAATGGAGGGAGTATGATATATGATAGTGGACCAATTATTGATATGTTTGAACAAATAAAATAGCAGTAAGTATAAAAATGTTGAATCGATGACACATGTCAAGTCTATTGGTTTTATCAGCATGGAAAGCCAACTTACATATTATTCAGTGATGAAAGATTTGAGAAAGAGATTGGGATTGTTCCTGCCAATGTATTTTCGCTTAGATCCCTGTTCAGGTTATCAAATTGTTAGATTTATTGACCAACCTTGATAGCATGTGTTATGGGCTGACTTACAGGTTTTGAAGGTTTAGGAGTCGACCAAGAGAGTTAGGTATTGCCCCTGCCAATGTATTTTCGCTTAGATCCCTGTTCAGGTTATCAAATTATTAGATTTATTGACCAACCTTGATAGCATGTGTTATGGGCTGACTTACAGGTTTTGAAGTTTTAGGAGTCCACCAAGAGAGTTAGGTATGGAGCCATTAAATGAATTTCTTCCTAGATTTAAAGTTGTCAAACTTGATAGGTTCCCCAGCTCCTCAGGAATTCTACCACTTATGGCATTCCCATCTAATAACCTGATTCCATAATATGAAAAAAAATCAGAAAATATGCCCGTCAATGTAGAAAAGTAAGCTTATGTATAACTGACCCTCATTTAGGAGGAGAGCTTACAGCTGTTGTAAAGTTGTTATCTTTGCAATGCTTGGAGATAAGATTCCAACTAAGCCTGCTGAGCTCAAAGTTCTGCAGACACAGAAATGAGAAACGAAAGAAAATATATGAAGAGAAGTGCATGGCATTGCAAACTTGTAATGATAGAAGCATGAAAGCATTTAAATCAATTATGTGGTATCCAAAAGAAAACTCTTCTCCTGTGATGAACAGTTAGTACTTAGTAGCAATCCCTTCAGATATAGTTTTTTGTTCTAGATAAAAATATTAGATATTTATAAAAGAAGATTAGGGCAGTTAACAAAAGCATATGTTGGTGCTTAAGCTGGTTTAGGTCACATTAGCACTTTTCTTTAGGTGTTAGCCTAGAGTTTAATGTGGTTTGCACACCTCTTTGCTACTGGTACTTGCATGCACTATGGTTGCACATTCCAGGGCTTGTAAGTCATCACTCCAACCATGTTTGTGGAGTGGCTGCTGGTGGTGTACGAGGGAGGATATGCCCACCAAGTGAAGATGACGGGGAGCCATCCAAGAGAGGCTTGGCAGAGACCCACTTGTGCGTGGGATGGCCCATGAACTATCCACAAAGTTACCCCGACCAGGAGATTGGCCTTTGTGAGGGCATCCTTGCGACAAGCTCCTACAAGGACTAGTGAAAAACACGAGCTTTACCTCGGTAGAAAAAGTCGTCCGAGTGGGAGTTTGCATTCTCTAACTCTTTGCACTTATATTCTTGCATTCCTTTCTACTGTTCTCTTTTACTTTGTAAGGAAAATGGACCCTAGGCCCATTTACTTTGGATTTTGATGTTTGATGACCAACACAACCAAATTGGACTAATGAATTTGCAAGTAATTATTTTGTAGTTCAATAGGGTGCAAGACATGACTTGGACGAAGGCGACATGATGATCCCACGATCAACACCATAAGCAAGACCCTAGAAGCACAAGAGAAGATCCAAGATGTCAAGCATAGTCCAAGCATGAAGATGGAAACCAATCTGGATGCAAGATTGCGAAGAAACGAGCTCGGCAGAGGTGACCGGACGCGGCCCTTATAGGGACCAGACGCGTCCGATCGATTGCTCGGCAACAGCAGGCGTCAGCAGCTGTGACCGGACGCTAAGCGAAGCAGTGACCGGACGCACCGATGGCACTGTTCTTCGTCACGGTAATGTTTTCAGCGTGACCGGACGCAGCGGCACTAGACGACCGGACGCACAAAGTGCAGCATCTGATCGAGTCCAGAGAGGTTCCAAAGCGGCGCCAGTGCTACCGGACGCGTCCGATCGAGTGAGACCGGACTCAGCCCAGAGTCTGATCAACGCGCGCGCTTTAACGGTCGGGACGACCGGACGCGTCCGGACAGTAGCAGAAAGCTAGGTTTTGCCCCCAACGGCTACTTTCTCGGTGGGGCTTATAAATAGACCCTCCAACCGGCCATTTGATATGTTGAGAGCTGAGGAAACATACCAAGGGTGTTGATACACCATTTTAGTGATCTCCACTTGCATAGTGCTTAGTGATTTATTAGGTGATTAGCGTAGGTGCTTTACGAAGTGCTTAGGTTGATTAGACCAGCACTTATGCGTTTGCTCTAGGTTTAGGCCTAGTGTTTAGTGAGGTTAGCACACCTCTTATCACTTGGTGCTTGCGCGCACCATTGTTGTACATCGAAGGGGCTTGTAGTCTTATGAGATCACACCAACCATGTTTGTAGTATGGTCGCCACCGTGTACCGAAGGAAACAAGGCCCGCGGCGGTTCAGCCGAAAGCTTGATATTGAAAACGGAGGGGAGCGGTCCGGGAGAGGCTTGCCGGAAGACACACCGGAGACCCACTTGCGCATGGGGAAGGCTCGGGGCTATCCACGGAGTTACCAGACCGGGAGCTTGGCCCTTGCGAGGGATTCCTTGCGAGGGGCTCCAACGAGGACTAGGGGGAAGCTTACGCGCTTCTCGATACCTCGGTAAAAATACCGGAATCGTCGACGGGAGTTTGCATATCTCTACCTTACTCTTTAGCTTCCGCATTTACATTGCAATCTTGGTTTATGCTTTACTTTCCTAGCTTAGTGATAGGCTAGTTGATAGGTTTGGAACCTAGATTGCATAACTTCTTTTTGCGGTAGATATAGCAACACACTAGCAAAACCATAGTTGCACGTTTAGATATTTTATCTTTTGCATAGGTTTTTGCTAAGGATAAAAAGAGGCCATAGTTTAGATGTAGAGTTTTAAGTTGCCTAATTCAACCCCCCTCTTAGGCATCACGGTCCCTTTCATACTTTCTTAGTCTAGTTTGCTAGATTAGTTGATAGAATTGGAACCTAAGGTGCAATTCTTCTTTTTTTGCATTGGAGATGCCAACACTTAGAGAAACCTTGTTCGCATATAGATAGAATTTGTGTAGGTTTTTATAAGTGAATTTTAGCCTTAGGCTTTAAGTGACATAATTCGCCCCCTCTTAGGTGTCATTGTCCCTTTACCAAGCATATCTAGATTGACATATACTTTGTTCGTGAAAGGTGTTTCTTGGACAAGTCCAAGTGTTGCATGTTCCGTCCTCTCACCAATCTACAGGTATTATGATCAAAGGCTTGGATGTAAGTTTATTACTGAGTTTAATTTTAGTCATGCGTCCATGATCCTCCCGCTTTGACTTTGGATGTGTATTAGACATGTATATGTGTTTTATACACATTGACTTATAACGCAAGCTATACGTTAAGTAACTTGATCTAAGGGGTACAAGGGGTTTCCCTAATTCTCTGCAAAAACAAAGGAGGAATTCCCCCTAATGATTAGACTTGTATTAATAATAAAAGCAACAAGTTTTTACATAGAGGAAAAAGAAGAAAACCAAAGAAATTACACACATCCTACTAACCATTGAGGTTTCTCTATCTTAATAGGCAAGAATGCAAATTAAATTTGGTTAAGAATTGAGCCTAGCTCAACAGGTTGGGTGGGAGGTGTGGTCATGCACCCAACCACCTAGGTTCATGTCCTCTCTTGCCTTGAATTTGGGTGCCTATATTTTCCCTTCTTAATGAAAAATGAAAAATCCATCCTATGTTGGATCACATTTTTTTAGAATGCGAATTTGTTTAGATCTAATTGACTTGGGCAGGGATGCAGTTCACAGTTCAGACAGTGAGTTATTAAATAGCATGAGCTTACATTGCGATAACTTTGTTGTCTTGACAATCAATGTTAGCCCAATAGCAGGGGGTCATTTGATTATCCTTCCAGTCTTTTAGGACACCACCATCATCACTGAGCTGCATCCTCATTTCATACAATGCTGCAACTATGGATAAAACAAAGTTTATTTGCGGGTTTGTGAGGTAGATGCAAGGGAGAAAATTTTCTTTTTTAAAAAAGGGAGCCAAAATTGGTGAAATGCTTCTGATTGACAGAAAATTACCAATGCTCAATAGATGTGGTTTTATCTACCTTGAAAGAAAAAAATAGTAATCAAGCGAAGGGAAAGCACAGTTGATATGCACCATTCTTGCTTCAGAATCTATCCTATGAATTTCTTCTAGAATTTTAAACTGAAACATTTGACTGGACACTTGTAAAAAAAATGGACCCATCATTTACTGATAGACACTTCAGTTTTCAGAGTCGAATTCACAATTTAAGTATGTTTGTTGATTAGTACTATATTTGATGCGGCAAAGAGATCTAAATCAGTAAAGACCTTACCTTGGTAGTCAGATGTAGCAAAAGATTGTAAGAAGCTCAATAAGATTAAACCGAAAGCCAATAGCTTCATGCTTTCTGAAAGTATCCTCTGTGTGTTTTGCTTTTCAGAAACAGAAGCACTGTCAGTGTACTCTGAATTTGTTTGCTTGATAGAGGAACCAATCAGAAAACAAAGATGAAGTATAACTCTATATGAAAAAGAAAACAAAGAAGAAGGTGATCAATAGTTGTATATATGTGAACATGCAAGAAGAGTGCATGATTCAGGAACTTACCAATAGGGGGACATGCATTCGTCTGGTAAATGCGCTTCTATCTTCTTACAACTCTCTTCACTCAGGCTTCAGTTGTCTTATAGAATGGAAGAGAACTGAGCTAAGAGAGATGTGCAAAGAACTTGCTCCCTCTGTCCATATATAAATGCCGCTATAGGTGCGTGCTAGTCAAGCTTTCTTAAGTTTGACTAGGTTTTTACAAAAATATTAACAATATTTATATCTCTAAATAAATTTATTGTAAAAATATATTTAACGATCTATCGATGATACTAAATATCATAAATATTAATGTTTTTTAATATATATTTGGTCGAAGTTGAGTAAATTTGATTTCTCGGGAAGTGAGAACGACAGTTAAAAAGGAACGGGGTCTACAAGATTTACATTTGTGTTGAGCCGCATGCCCGAGATTCTTTCAGTTGAATTGGTAACTCTTTAGAGCAGTCGCTGACGGTTACTTCAGTCCATTTAATTTTTATCTGGTCCACTAGACAACTACTGCCAGTAATTGCAAATTGTTCTGTGCACTGCTAGCTTCTGTCATTTTCATATGCTAGTTGCGCCCTCTCTTATATCGAAAAATCCACCTTGAGTAAGGAACTCCCTCCATCTAAAAAGGAGTGCAATTCTTACTTCCTAAGAAGCCAAACGATTTTAAATTTAACTAATTATATTAAAAATTATACAAACATTTATGATTTCAGATAAAGATTACTAGACTATTTATGAAATATGTTTTAAAGTAAACTTATTTAGAGACATAAATATTGATATTATGTTCTATATACTTAGTCAAATGTAAGAAAGTTTGCTTTATCCTAAATTTAAAATTGCATATTTTTTTGGGACGGAGGGACCTGGTATGTATATATATATATATATATATATACTGCCCTATAGCTGGCTACAAAATAACTTATTCTATAGCCACTTTGAGTTGTGATAATTACTATGTTAATTTACGAGATTATAGTAACTTCTTACTAAGTGGTTTACTATAACGTTATGGTAAATATCCCTATGTGTTATAATAACCCAACTATCGTAAATATGTATTGACATTATCGTAAATTAGTATATAAAATTATCGTAAATGGGGGTGGCTACAGAATAACTTATTTTGTAGCTGGCCACTGAATATACTCTCCCTATTATATAATGACTCGATCTAGGTGAAGAAAAATGACAGTACATATCTAGGTTTTGGTGTGTGACGTGATTCTTAATGCGTCGGATTGACGATTCTGTAGAATTTCTGTGGACAGAAAAGGAGTGTAGAAATTTATGTAGACCGGAAGAGTCTACTCTCGTGGTCTCGCCGGCATAGATGGCCAACGGGCTGGCCCGGTGCGGCACGGCACGGGCCCGTGCTAGGCACGGCCCTATAGGGCACGGCACGGAAGGGCCCATCGGGCCACCGGGCCATGCCGCACCAGTCCATCGTGCCTGGCCGACAGCCCAGGCACGGCCTGTCGGGCCAATTTCCGTGCCGGGCCGGCCCGATGAGCCCGGCCTTTTTAGCAGGTCGGGCTGGCCCGAGGTCCACCAAATGCGACAGAGAGGAGGGGGAGGCGAGGAGTGGAGGTGGCGGCGGCCGCCGCCGAGCTCCCCCCCGGGTCGCTTGATGCCGGATCCGGCGAAGTAGCTAGCGGAGGAGGCGAGTCCGGCAAAGTAGCGGCCGGATCGAGGGCGTAGAAGGCCGGATCGAGGCCGCTCCGCTCGAAGCCGCTGCAGGGGGACGCGGAGGAGGTGGCCAGACGCGCGCGGGGGGGGGTCATGGAGGAGGCGGTCGTTGCCGTGCTCGACGCCGGCGCTGCTGTCGCGCTGGACTTCAGCGTGGTCGAGGGACGGGGAGGAGCCGAGGAGGAGCGGGGTTGGCGCCGCGGAGGGGATGGAGGCCGCTCCGCTCGAAGCCGTGCGGGGGGCGCGGAATAGACGGCCACAGCCAGACGCGCGGGGGGCCATGGAGGTGGCGGCGGCCGCCGCACTCGACGTCATCGCATGGTGGAGGTGGAGCTCTGGAGGCGGCGGCATGGGGATGGGGGAGGCAGAATGGAGTGGAGGTGGAGGCGGCGACGTTGGCGGGGATGGGGGAGGCCGGATGGAGGGATTGTGGAGGTGGAGGTGGTGCCCCGGGTGGCCGCGCCGGCTTCCTCACGGCTGCGCAAGTCGAGGAGAGGGGAGAGCAGACCCGCAAGAGAAGGGAAGGGATGCGGGTGGGCGGTGTGTATGACACACGAGGACCCGTCTTGTGCCGCTTTCGAGTCGAGAAGGGAAAACAAGCAGTGGGCGGCATTGATAGGGAGTTGGAGTTAGGGTTTGGAATTAGAGCAGCTATATATGTTATGACTAGCGGGCCTCTATCAGGCCTAAAGCTTTTAGCGGGCACGCCGTGCCGGCACGGCCTGCTCCTCCGGGCCATGCCAGCCCAGGCCCGCTCGCAGCCAGGCTTGGCCGGACAAAAAAAATGGGCCTTGGGCCGGACCGATGGGCTTGAGCTGTATGGCCATATATACTCGCCGGTCCTGCTGTAGGCTGAATCAGCGGTAGAGAGTAGACTTTTGACCGCGGGAGCTTGACCGGAAGACGGTAACCTTGGAGGCTCGGAGGTACGACCGTGAACCGTCCGGGAATGTCGTAGGCAGCACTGCAAGGGCGGGGTTTGTGGCCTTGGGGCTTGAACGTACTCGGCCACCTAAAAATTTTGTAGAACATGACATATCCCGGCCCATTTGTTCTGGTTTGGACCTGTTGTGGTGTATGTGTTATGTTTCAGTGCATTTAGTATCACCTTGATTGTTTAAAATCAGATTATAATCCTTCTCGTTTTTAAGCATAGAATCTCCATTAATCCTCTTACATGAAGCGGGTGTTAAAATGTAAGAGATATATTATTCGTATGGACTCAATCCATGTGGGAGTTGGGCCACACATAATTTTTGTATAGGTGTTATAGATGGTACTCAGAATCATCCCCTTTTTTCTCGATCACGCAAAAGGTCTGTGCATATTTATATTAAGGTGGAGAAAATTTTAATACAACATGTCTTAGCAGCGCCCTAGGGGGTCAGAAGAGTTGTACTTTATCGCTTGGACCATGCCTAGTGTACTGAAAGTTATGGTGTAACATTGGACACCGATCAACCCGAGTCGCGGGACCGGCTACAAGGCCTTTGCCCGAGCTGCAGAGCGGCGGCGGCGCTGCTTGTGCGCACCTATGTCACTATCCCCTAGGAACACCTCACGTAGCGCCTGCATATTACCGGGGCACCGCTGAAGATTTCATCATACGCCTTCAGGGCCGACGTGGACGGAAAGGACATCCTGCTGGTTAGTCCCAGGCGCTTCAAGACAAGGTGCTCACCTTGCTTGGACGCCGGGATATGAGCTATGCTTTTGCATCGCTATCCGCATGCTTCGCTTGGGGAGCGAGGGCGGTGCTCGTCCATCGATGGCCGTATCATCTCCAAGCAGCTCTAGGAGTGGCGGCTACCTCCTCTTTGTGATTTGCTCAGTGAAGCGCTTGAGGCGTCTATCGGCCAAGGTCGTTTAAGGTACAGGAGTGCGATTGACACCGTCTGTCATAGCCACGATCGCTGCGTCTCCCAGGGTGGTTGCCCCGACGTTGGCGCTAGCTAGCATTGGGCTCATGGGCCGGGGAGGAGTGGTTGCGTCCTTGCCTTGGTGGCTTGGGCGCGCCTCGGCATCCACGACACCGGGCTTCCCCCCGTGGTGGCGTGACTTGTGGCTTCCCTACACCGGCGACAATGGAGGCGAGTCCGTCGTCTGGCGGGAAGCCTCCGTCAAAGCTCCAACAACTTGAGAGGCGGCCGCCAGAGGAGGGCTCCCAGGCGTTGTGCTCCTGCAGGCCGGGTGACGACGAGCAAGGCGTCGAGCTCCTCCAGTATTGGGTCCACCCAGGTAGGAGACTTCGCGCTCGCGCACAATTGCAACACTAGCAGACCTAGTTTGGAGGAGCAGTGTGCTGCAGCAGAGGGAGTGACGTTGGTGTCCCTCGCCGGCTTCCTCCGTTGTCGATGGGTTTTGTCGGTGCCCACCGCAGAACCCTACGCGGCCCTGTCCGAGCTCGGTGGACCACCGTAGGGTGCGTGCTGGGAGGCTGGCACCCTTCGCCACCGTTGTTGCATAGACCTGGGCCGCTTGCAATCCCTAGCGAGGTGGCGAAAGCCGTGGCAACGCAGGCAACGTCGTGGCAACCAGCTAGTCGCTACTCGGTGCGAGTAGGACAAACAATTGAAACACCTGTCACGAAGCTCTGCGGGGATCCTCTAGGCCTGCGGGAG